ACCATGGATCAATCATAAACTCTAGAAGCCTGCCCCATGACTCCATGAGGCTTTGAGGGTACACCCGGACACAAACCATAACAGTTGCTATGAAGATAATACTATCAAACTAACCAAATCAACTCACTGGAAAATTGAAACAATTTATCTTTAAAGATCAGCTTGACAGCCAGGCACAGTGGCACACACCTGTAATCTCAGCTACCTGGGAGACTGAAGCAGGAGGATTGCAAGTCCAAGGCCAGCCTGGGCAACTTAGCAAGATCCTGTCTCAAAATAAAAAAATGAAAAGAGCTGGGGATATCACTCTGTGGTAGAGTGCTGTTGGGTTCAATCCACAGTACCATAAAATATATTATGTGTTTCAGTTTTCCACTAAATATGACATTTGTTTTGTTTTATTTACTCTGAGATGGGATCTTACTATATTGCCAGGCTGGTTCCGTACTCCATGTCAGCCTCCTGCCTGCCAGCACTACAAGTGTGTGCCACTGAGTCCAACCCAAATTCTTCTGAGCTTCTCAAGACAGAACAGTTATAAAAATAGTACTAAGAGGTCCTGTATAGATAGCACCCAGCATCCTTTAATATTAATGTTTTAGATAACCAAAGCACAGTTACAGTATTAAAACTATGAAATTAACATTAATACCTTTAGCTAAATTGCAGACATTCAGATTTTGCCAATTTTCCCATTAATGTTTTCCATTTCAGGATTCTACATTGCCCTTTGATGTCATGTCTTTTATCTTCTGAGTTCCCTGTCCTTAAGCCATCCTTAAAATTCAGAGGACCGTTTTCATTTTTAAGCGGTACTGGATATTAAGCCCAGGGCCTAGAACACTTTAGTCTCTAATTAAAGAGCTCCATGCCCTGTATGCCATAAATCTGTGGGAAGTGAGCTCCAGCAGCTCAGGTGTGCTCTTCTGGGTGGGGCAGGGTAGTGCTTCATTTGAACTCAGGTACTTTTCTCTTGGGCGTCATTCTTTTTTTGGTCATTTTCCTTAATGTGTTTCAGGAAGCTATCTCAGCTCTTTGAGGGCTTAATATGCTCAGTGCCACGTTGATTCTCTTGGCAAGAATCTTGCCCTTGCCAGGCATAGTGACATACGCCTGTAATCCCAGCACTTGGGAGGCTGAGGCAGGAGGATTGCTGCGAGTTTGAGGCCAGCCTGAACAGCATGGTGAGACCCTGTCTCCAAATAACAAACAACAAAAAAAAGAATCTTGCCCTTGACCTGCTTCTTTATGACAGTACTAACAGCATACCCAGGAAACATTGTGCTCTTCCATTTTTGCCATGGTAACATTTGTGCAGTATTACTTTTTGAATAGCACCTATCCCCTTGATGTCTACAGTATCATCCTTTTTGTAGATTTGCATATGTGTGGCCAAAGGAAGAACTCCATGTTTTCTAAAAGGCCTAAGGAACATATACTGGCTTTCTTTCTCTTTCCTTTTGTGTTCATCATTTTGGCAAATTACTGGAAGATGGCATTTCTGCCTAGGAAATAAGCCAGCACCTGCTCCTTTAGAGGCAAAGCGTAGCATGTATTTTAAAAGGTTATGAATTGAGACGTCGAAGTAGAAAATATGCAGATAAGTAATATTTGTATGGCCATGTGTATATATAGAAATTATAGTATTGATATCTAGATCTAAATTTGAATTGTAAGTAATTATTTCACAAAATGTTAAATACATGCATTGAAGCAATTTTGAAATCTTGAAGCAGCTTGAAAGCTACACATTAGCTTTATATCTGTGTATGTCAATACATTGTTTTTCAAAACGATGCTTTTCATACCTGAAATACAGCTATATCTAAATGTTAACATTATATAAAATGTAAAGAATATGCAGGTAAAACTGTTAGTAGAATCTTTCCATTTGTTATAACAAATTCATTTACTTTGATCAGGCTAATTAGTCTAGAACAGAGCTGATAGTCCCTTGACCAAATATGGCCCGGGGTTTTGCTTTGTCTTTGTGGTTTTTTTTGTTGTTGTTGTTTTTGGGTTTTTTTGTTTTTTTTCCGGTACCAGGAATGGAACTCATGACCTTGCGCTTGCGAGGCAGGCACTGTGCCGCTGAGCTCAATACCCAGCCCCTTGTCTTTGTGTTTTAAATATTTTTTAGTTTGAATTCCTTCAGGTAACCATGAGCTCTTCAGTTTACCATTGGCCTTGACACATCTAACTTACATATTCGTTAGTGTGACTTTCCTGGCATTTGAATCTGTAAGCCCTTCTCTAGAATTCTCGCGATTCTTTGCTGGAGTTGCCACAGACAGAAGCCAGACTACATGGAGCTGAGTAGTGGGTGAGAAATGCAGAAGCAGAGCCAAGGAAAAGCTTAGCAAAGGAGAGGGTGGGGAGGAGTGGAGCACTGCAAAGGCTGTGTGCTGCTGCCTGCTTGCTGTGGCCTGGAGCGGGTCCTTGGCCTGTTTCCCACGAGTCCCTCTTCTCAGCTGTTTTTCCAGCCCACACGAAAGCAGAGATAATGCCTCGTGAAGGCGGAGTTATATACAGTACTGGGTACAGGCTTGTGGATGGCACAAAAATTAAGACCTGAGATCAGGAGAAAAGACGTAGCTGGGCATGGTGGCCCCCATGTCTGTAATTTCAGCATTCTGGGAGGCTGATGCAGGATTACAAATTTGAGCCCAGCCTGGGCAATTTAATGAGACACTTTTTTAAAAATAAGGGCTGGCCAGGCATGGTGGCACGCACCTGTAATCTCAGCACTCAGGAGGCTAAGGCAGGAGGAGCGCCATGAGCTCAAGCCCAGCCTTTGGTACATAGTATGGTCAAGGCCAGCCTGAACTACATGTTGAGACCCTGCCTCAAGAAAACCAAAACTAACCCAAACAAAGAAATAAGTGGGATAATAGGGGGCTATCAATGCAGTTTACTCTGAAGGCTCTGGGTTCCCTAGCAGCATGGAGGAGTCGGGGCAGAACCACAAAGGATAGACCAGAGTTGGAGACACAGTGTCTGGGCTGCTTTAATAGGGCTAAGTTCCCCCACAGCAGTGGGATATAGTACCCAAGGAGGAAGGAACGTACAGGATTTATTTTGGGCTTCCATTAAATGGGTAAGAGTTTCAGAGTTTTATCATGTGTAACAGTAGTGAGCTGCACTTATGTGGAATGAACATTGTCTTGGTTACTTTCCTCTCATTCCTGAGACAAAGTACCTGATGCCCGAAATCAAGGAAGGAAAGGTTTATTTAGCTCACAGTTTGTGGAGGTTTCAGTCCATACCCAGCTGGCTCCAAGGCAGAGTGGCACATGGCAGAGGGCAACAGTTCATGACTGTGGAAGACAGCAAAAGCAGCAAGAGCAAAAAGAGGAGGAGCGGCAGCAGAGAGGGAGCCCCTTTCCCTCCCTTACATTGTGTGTAGGCTCCCCGTCCCAGGGCGGGTGTAGCGTTTACACCCATAATCCCAGTCTGGGACCATGAGTCAATCAAAAACCCCAGGAGCCTGCTCCATGACTGCATGAGGCTTTGGGGGGACATCCAGACACAAACCAGAACAAACATTTTATTTCTTAAACAGATCCATGATACTTTGTGATAATTCAGGGTTTTTTTTTTTTTCTAGGTAGACCCCATACTTAGCCTATTTAGTAATCTATGAGGAAGACAAGCCTCATTTATTCTTTTTAATTATTTTTAGAGAATTATTTAGTCATAAACAACCCTGGATAACTGTGTATACATGGTAGTCACCGAATTGGCTCTTGGGAGTCATTAAGAAGACACTTCGAGGGGTTGAGAGTACAGCATAGTTGGAGAGCACTTGGCTTAGGGTACTCGCTGCCCTGATTTCATCCCCAGCTCTACCAAAAAAAAAAAAAAAAAAAACCAAAAAACCACTTCAAATGCTAGCTGGGTGTGGTGGTGGTGTGTGTCTGGAGTCCTAGCCACTCCGAAGGCTGAAGCAGGAGGTCACTTGAGCCTAGGAGTTTGAGACCAGCCCGGCCAATATGGTGAGACCCTGTGTCATAAACCAGAAACACCAAAAACATTGACAATGGAGTGTTTGCTGATGAGGTAGGTTACTAAGCAGGGGTATTTATCATGGACTCTTTTTTAATCAAAGAATTTCATGTTTATGTTGGGTAATGAAAAATAAGGCGGCTTGATTTTCAAAGAACTGAAAACTAGTCTTTCCCTCCTTTGCAGGATGGTCTGCTTGTTCTTCATTATGGTCTTGTGGTTTCTCCTCTGAAAATAACTTGAAGGGGCGAGCTGTGTCCCGAGCGGGGAAGAAAGTACGGAGGCTTCTGCAGGACCGCATTGCACCAAAGATTCCCACAGAGCGCATCGCTGCCGCCACTTTGTGCTGTGAGGTGTAGCTGATCTATTTTTTAGTGCCGGGATAAAACCTGGGATGGAGGAATGCATCTGTTTCACCAGAGACAATATGAAAAGCAGCAGAGCTCAGGAAAAATTCCTCAAAATGTTGCATCTTAAAATTCCTTGTGATTCTCCATACTTTGGCATTGATTTTTGCTTCCCATCTTTGAAGTACATTGGTTACTGTTTCCTCCTTTGTCAAGTGTGTCCCCTTCAGTTGGGTGGCTGGGCAGGGGTCCTTGCAGGAAAGGGAAGCTGCTGTGGACAGGAGGCGCAGCCAGCCTGCGCTCAGCCACCGGGTGTGGCGGAAGCCCCGAGACGGGCTGCTCCGCATGTTGCCGTCGTCTTTCGAGCTTGTCTCTTCATCCATCCTCCCAACACTGTTGCACTGGGGCCATCCAGTCCTGACGGAGACGGGCCATCCCCATCCAGGCCTGACAGAGACGGGCCATCCCCCTCCAGTCCTGACGGAGACGGGCCATCCCCACCCAGTCCTAAGGGAGACGGGCCATCCCCACCCAGTCCTGACGGAGACGGGCCGTCCCCATCCAGTCCTGAGGGAGACGGGCCGTCCCCCTCCAGTCCTGATGGAGACGGGCCGTCCCCCTCCAGTCCTGATGGAGACGGGCCGTCCCCCTCCAGTCCTGAGGGAGACGGGCCATCCCCACCCAGTCCTGAGGGAGACGGGCCATCCCCACCCAGTCCTGACGGAGACGGGCCGACCCACCCAGTCCTGACGGAGACGGGCCACCACCGTCCTCTGTGGAGAGACTGTTCCCTGTAGGGCTCACTGCCCCGCGCCCAAGGCCTTCAGTGTAATAAAACTTCTTAGCACATTCTACAATGCCAGGTGCTTATCTGTGGTTTTGTTTTTACCCTTATTTTCATACACAGTATGGTTGGTACCCTGATTGACATCGCTCCTGAAAGTAATAAACTTCAGGTGATTTTCAGAAGTTTACAGGGTACTTGTTTGCTCAGCAGAACAGCTTCATGTTCATTTTCTCATAATTTTTCACTGGGATAAAGAAGAAGGGGGTTTGAGAGCTTACTTTCATGCAGAGTTCAGTTTTAAAATTATTTTGCCTAAAATTAGCATTTCAGTGCTTTCTAAAAGAAATATTTTATAAACTTTATTTCACAGCAGAATTACCAAGTCTGTATAGAAACACAAAACTAGCAAAGGATTGGCAGTTGTTTTGTAAAGAATTTGTGAACTGTGTGTAATTCTCTTCTAACATTTAATAAAAATTTATTTTAGCCTATTTGGACATGTTTACTGTGGATCCTTAAAAAGCCAGAGCCCTTTCAGAGCCAAGGTATCTGAATCAAAGTGACTCTCTTTTTGTGGTGGTGGAGGTACTGGGAATGGAGCCTAGGGCCTCACACATCCTAAGCATGTATTCTACCACTGAGCTATATTCCTAGCTCCCCGGGTCAAGGTGAAACTGCCATAAAATAGATACTTATGCTGGGCGCAGCAGCATACACCTGAAATCCCAGCACTCTGGGAAGCTGAGACGGGAGGAGTGTGAGTTCAAGCCCAGCCCGGGCAATTTAGTGACTCAGACTCTGTATCAAGGGTTGGAGGTGATGTAGCTCAGTGCTAAAGCCATGGGTTCAATCCCTAGTGCTAAAAAAAATAGATATTTAATAGACATTTACTCTACTGATTGTACTAGGTGCCGTTGTTAGACAATGAACAGAATAAGAGCTATAGAATCTACCACCTCCTAAGTTTCTTGCACATATGACTTATTTTAATTTTTACATTTATTATATATGGTGGGATCCCACTAGGGATCCACCGGGCTCGCTGGTTCACTAGAAGGACTCAGGCCCCAGAATAGCTGTGGTACCCGTGGATATTTGTTACAGCACGATGATACAGATTACAGTCAGCGCAGGGAGCAGGCCCACAGGGTGCAGTCCAGGAAGACCAGGCGCAGGTCTCCAGCTGACCTCCCGGCAGTGTGGCACGGGCAGTGCTGAGCGGGCAGTCTGCTGGCAGCAGTCGTGTGATGGGTGAGATACTGCCGGGAAGAGAAGGTCACCCAAGCCCTCGGACCCGGGCGTTTTTATTAGGAGTCGGTCAGGCAGGCGTATGGGCCCTTGGGGTCGGTCAGCTATTAGCACCTCAGAACCTGCTCGGAAGTCAGACTGCTAAGGAGCGGCGCAGGACCCTGGCTGCACAACCTGACCTTGTGGCCCCGGATCTCGGCGTGCCAAGACAATTAGGGCCCTCCAGCCGCATCAGAAATCCAGATTTAGAAGGCGAGATAAGCGCCAGGAATGGTGGTGCACACTGACGTCCCAGCTACGCGGGAGGTGAGGAAGGAGGATCCCTTGAGCCCCTGAGGCCAGGCCGGTGACAGTGAGACCTGGAGACTGCTGAAGGGGGCGTGGGGGGCGCTTGCCAGAGAAAACTGCCTGGAGTTCCCATGCGTAACAAGAGGGGAAGAAAGGTCAATGTTTAAAGATTGTTATCTTCAGTACCCAGATGTGCTTGTTTTCAAGACAAAGATCATTTAACCAGCTGTTTCAGCAAAACGTTTACCTCCACAGAGGTAACCCGCAGGCTCAGAGTAAACACCTTCACCGTTTTCAAGACACTACCCTCGTTCATGAAAGTAAATGCTTGTTTTCCTTAGTATCAAATACTTCTGCAGTGAGCTCAGAGTGCAAGGCACTGCCTCCTCACTTTCCTTGCTGCTGGGACAAAACAGCCGACACCCAGCGCAGGGGAGGAGAGGTTTATTCCGGCTCAGGCTCCAGTCCCAGGCCGGCGGGCTCCCGGGCAGGCCGGCGCGGTGGAAGGGCCTGGGCAGGGGAAGGCTGCCGTGCCAGCACAACCGCAGGTGGAAAGCAGAGGGAGGAGGGCCCGGGGGATCTGCTGTACAGAGTCACCTGCCCAAAGCCCGCGTGGGAGTGCACGGGCGCCCGGGGACCTCCGGATACAAAGCTGAACAGGCGTTTGTGGACAACATTCAAGGGAGGGGCAGCCCCTTGTCGGGGAACCCAGCCTTCCGGTCCCAGCCTCTGTGAGACCCTCATACATAGACGTGCTCTCGGAATCAGAGGTCTGCCCTTTCTAACTTCCTTCCAGAGCGTAACGGAAACTCCCAGAGATCTAAGTGGACACCCAGTTGTATCACTGCACCTGACTGTTCTTACAGCCAGGCAGCAGATTCTGGGACTCACAGGTCTGTAACTGCTCCCACACCGAGTTTGTAGTCTGTGGGCTTCACCAGCAGAAACACAGTTTCAGGTCAGGAGAGTCCGTGGGTGGAACTAACGCGTCCCTCGTGCAGCTCTGCAGGTGCTGCAGAGGGGTTCCCAGCAGAGGGCAGCAGGGCGGGGACGGACAGGAGGGAGCGACCCAGGCACACAGCAGGATCAAGGGTGTTTAAAAGGAAAAACAGGGGCTGGGGATCTAGCACAGCCGCACAGCGCCTGCCTGGCAAGCGCAAAGTCGTGAGTTCGATTCCCGGTACCGGAAAAAAAAAAAAAAGGAAAAACAGAAAAAAACACAATAGAAGCACGTTTTAAAAACACAAAGCAAGCGGGGAGGGGCTGAGTGCTTGCTTCTGCTACGCTGGAGAAGTGACGTGCTGGGAGGGAGGGAGGGGGCCGCCGCGGCTCCTGTTTGGCGCCCGCGTGCTCAGGGAGGGAGCTGTGCGCAAGGACCGGGCGGCGCGCTCCGGCTGCCTTGGCCTTGGAGGGTGGGGCCCGGCACCAGGCGGCCGGGGGATGTGCCTCCCTCCCTGGCTCCTCCCTTCTCGCTCTGGTTCCTGGTCTCCGCTCTGTGAACCGTTTCCTCCGCTGGCCCCTCCGCCCTCCTTCTGCCTTGGAGTCGGTCAACTGAACTAAAAGCGTGAGCCCAAATGAGCCTTTAAGTCGTAGGTGCTGGGTACGGTGCCTCCGCGATGAGGACAAGGACAACCGGGAGGCCCACTCCGGCTCCCGCACCGCCCGTCCCCGCTCTGCCTCTGCGCGAAGTGACGCGGCCGGCGGTGGGCCGGGGCCGCCGCCCTGGCAGGCACGGCAGCAAGCCGCGGGAAGGCGGGGTCTCTTCGGGAGGAATTCTACCAGGAACAGAACTTCACGGCCACGTCTGCCCAGACGGTCGCAAAGAACAAGACTCTGTAGCCTCGCTTCCACGGCTAGAGAAAGCGTGGGACGCAGGCAGGTCCCTTGGTTTGTGCCTAGACCCGGTCCGTGCGATGCCAGGCAGCGGTGCCCAGAGGTTTGCCTGCGGCAGCTGCTGTTCGGCAGGACGGCGCCTAGCAGCCTTCTGGGTTCCTCCCCTGAGAGCCGCGCTATTCTCTCCCTAGTCCAGGTCCTGATCATCTCCTGTGGCCCCGAGCGTCCCGTCTGTGTGCACTGCATTGCCCTGTCTCCTCCTTGAAGCAAATACATTCTTCTTGTTCCGGGGACAGAACCCAGGGCCTCATGCATGCTAGGCAGGTGATCTCCCACTGAACTACTTCCCCGGGCCTTTCAACATTTTTTGTTATAGAATCTCACTGAGTTGCCCAGGTTGGCCTCAAACCTGGGATCCTCCTGCTTCAGCCTACTGAGTAAGTTGGAATTACTTACTGAGTACTGAGTAGTTGGAATTACAGTACTGAGTAGTTGGAATTACCATGCCTAGCTAGAATCAAATATATTCTCACCTAGTACGTGGCAGTTCCTCCACTGGACTCCAAGCTAGCACAGACCTTGCGCATACTTCCCCCTCTCCTACAGTGACTTAGGATTCTTGGAAGCAGCACTATGGAGCTGTCGATTGGTCCTAGCTGGCGCGTCCAAAGGGTATTTTATTCCCAGATGCACGTTCTCACAGGGCCACTGGGTCATAATTGCTTACCAGAGAGATGTGCAATTGTTAACATTTTTATTTTGTTTCTTCTCGTGGTCGCGGCTACTATGTTTATTTCGTCATCTTGAAAACCACTAGTGCTAGAGGAGACTCAAGCCATCGTGATCCTGAATGTTCACCTTTGTTCTCTTTGGTAGAACACTTGAGAGTGGACCCTCATATCGTACCCTTCCCTGACGTGTTGTTCTGTGTTTTGGTTAATGGCCTCTGTTCAAAACTGGACTGGTGAAATCTAAATCTCATAACCTACAGAGGTGAATAAGCTCTCACAAATGAAATGCCGTATTGATCTCTTGAAAGCCGGCCAAGTGTTTACTTACATGGAGTAGATATTCTAGCTTCATCTTTACTGCATTTTTTTTTTTTCTGATGATGTCTATGATCTTCCAAGTTTTTTTGGTTTTAGTTTTTGGGACAATGTCTTGCTCTCTAGTCCAGGCTGGCTTTAAACCCCTTATGTAGCCTAGACTGCCTTCAATTCATGATCCTCCTGCCTCAGCCTCCTAAGTGCTGGGATTATAGACATGCACCACCATATCTAAGGGTTCTAATTGTGATACTATTTTCATTGAAATGAGTAGAGATTTTCCTCTGTTTCCAAGAAAAATTTCCCAAAACTAGTTAAATGATATTTTTTGCCTGTTTATCCTTTTTCTCCTTCAATCAGATTTTACTGGCACATATTAGATATATTGTCATAGAGAACTTGTATCTATCTGTATATGACATAACTTGATTCTTTTCTTCCCATCTCCCCTACCCTCCCTTCAACCTCTCCTCCTCTCTCCATTTACAAAAGCTTTGTTTCCAGTTAAATGATATTTTAAATTAGAAGATGAAGACAAAGATTGCCAGGATCATATATTTCCCCAAAAAAGACATAAAGGCAGTATTTGTATAATAGTTAGGCCATGAACTATGGAGCCATGCTGCATAGCTTTGAATCCCAGCTTTGCTGCTTATAAACTATATGATCTTGGCATGTTATATAATTTCTCTAACCTTTAGTTCTCCTTATTTGTAAAAGGGGGCAATGGTACCTACCTCACAGCGTTATGATAAAGCTGGGTGTGGTGGCGCATGCCTGTAATCCCAGCACTCTGGTAGGCTGAGGCAGGAGGATCACAGGTTTGAGACCATCCTAGGCAATTTAGCACCCTAACAAAACCCCATTTCAAAATAAAAATTAAATAAAGAACTGGGGAGGTAGCTCAGTGCAAAGGCTCTGGCTTCAATCCCCAGCACAGAAAATGACATGAGAACTAAGCAAATACTGGTACATGAAGAACTCAGAACTATCCCTGGTATCGTCTACCAGGTTCAGATATGGCCTTTAGGTAGCCACTGCTCAAATTACTTTGCTGTGTTAGTTCCTTTCTAGAGACTAATTACTTTAATGTTAATTAAATTAGTAAGACCTATATTAAACCATCTTTTTTCCTGTATTTATGCATCTCTTCTCACTTTACCTGTATTTATCAATAAGCAGGAGGCAGGTGGTGTTGGAAAATAGTTACACGGGCAGCATGAAGCCAGCATGAGAACACGGAGCCCCTCGGAGTAAACAAGCCCTTGTAACTTGTTAACTGGTTGCTGGGCAGCGCGGAAATTAACCAACCTCTCCAGGGTATAAATAAACTGTACTGCTTTTGGGCAGTCCTCTTGCTCCTCGGGCAAGAGGTAACTCCACCTGACCCTGGCTATCCTCTCTTGTCTTTATTTTCTAAATCCTCTTGCCGTTTTCTCCCCGGGACCATAGAGAAACCACCGACTCCCTCAAGGTGGAGCTTCATCTTGGTGGTCAGCATTACAGGCTCTGAGGGTGCATTTGGATTCTGTGCTCTCCCTAATACTGGCTCTTCTGCCTCTACTTCAGACTAGATTTGTCCATGGACAGACTGTTCGAGTTGTCAGAAGAATCCCGATTATTGAGCTAAAGTCTGGCTTACCATGAAGGGTTACTTAACCCTAACGGTCATTAGGAATTCTTTATGTCCTCTATCCATCCTTACACCAGGAAAGCAAACAGGGATGCTACACCTCTCCTGTATTCACACGTGTGGCACAGCAGATCATTTAAGTTCTATTTGTTGTAATAAGCACTGCCGGTGGTTCGTGCCTGTAATTCCAGCTTCTCGGGAGGCCAAGGCAGGAGGATTACTTGAGTCTAGGGCTTCAGAACCAGCTAGGCAACACCACAAGACCCTGTCTTTTTTTTTTTTAATGTCATTTCTAAGGAAAGATGCCTTTTTGCCCTGTGCAATCATCAGCAATTGACTAGAAGCTGTCACTAATTGTATCCCCAAACTCCAGCCCTTTTACAAATGATTTTGGGTACACTCCGCTGAGCAATCTCCGACCCCTGAGAGCCCGTGACAAAGCTGGAATGAGACGTCCCAGACACTGCACAGGGACCACCTGCCCCATCAGGGGACCGAGCAGCCATCTGGTATCCAGGACCGCGAATCAATAGAGAAGGAGGCCTGGAGGGCCTTTCAGGATCAATCTTCATTTTTCTTTGTAGTCCGAGCTACAGAGAATCACTGAGGCATTGCAGAAGCAGACATCTCTAAAATCTGCAGTGTGACTCACTCTGCTTTATTAGAAACCCACTGTGCTTGTGTTTTGTAAGAAAAGCTTCATACATCTGACTGGTCCCACCCCCACCTAGTAAGCTTGTGACATCGCATCATAAAACATGGGGCGATCAAATCATCTTTTAGGAGATCAGTGGAGGACGGGAGGAGCCCTTTGGTCTGCGCAGTAATCACTCACCTCAACCTCCAAGGGGTGCAGCCGGCCACGGTAACGCAATAAATCGGTCCTTTGTTCAGCTGGGTTCAGAAGCACTCACCCCATTTGCAAATGGCATCTTCGTGTGAGATCTTTGAAAATTACAAAATGCATGACGACATCAGCCTCGTCTGCACTTTAAAATGAAAAATGTTACAAAGCTAATACTGTATGGCCTATAAACACAATGTACACAGGAGCTGTTTTAAGGGCTTATAAAGCCCCCTCTCCACTATTTCCATTTTAAATTACTATGTTTCCTCCATTACAGTCTAAGGGGAAAATGTGTTCTTACATTCTGGGTGTTTTTCAGGAATTGTGAGTTCTGATGATAATAAAATAACAGCTGAAAGCAGCGAGGAGTGCTCATAAATAGTCACTTTCCCAGCTGCTTTTGTTCTGTTTTCTTTTACACACAGGTGATTTTTGGCTCTTTCTCCAGTACTGATTTGAAATCAATACTCTTAGGAGCTTTGGCTTCTGTTGTCCTAAAGGATCTCCTTCTCGCCAGGATGAACCCAGCGCAGCTGGCACACAATGGTCTCAGCTGCAGCAGAAGATACAAAAGATTTCTGTGACATTTTTCTGATAATTCCATAAATTCCTAACCAATGGATTTAGAAAACTAGATGAAATTTACATAAAAAATCAATCATTTGGGGAGGCCCCAGGAATCACTGCTGAGCTCTATCCCTGGCCCCAAATCAATCATTTTGAAGTGAATGATTTGGGACATTTAGAACATTTAGTGTTGTAGCGTACCTCCGCCTCATTCCTAAACACTGACTTGAGTCCTGAATAAAACCTCACACTCACTGAAGAGTCACCCCCATCGGAGGGACTATTCTCCAGCCCAGCAGCCTCCAATCGGCCTTCTGTTCCAAAGGATTTTTGAATATATGTTAAAAACTCTTTCATGTTTGCCTTTAGAGCCATGAACGGTGATGCTGGGCCTTCTCACTTGATAAGAGGCAAGTTCTAGAAATTTATCATCATGATCACTTGTAACTTGTATTAACTCTGGAAAGAAATATGGGTTTTAGCTTCTAGGTTACTGCTCAAATATTGCTCCTCTTTCAGCCAGTGCTGTAAAAATGAATTCTAAGTATCTGGATTAATTACCTCTTGAAGAATCCTCCCTTCTATACTATTCCACCATTTCCAGTGCCATTGATGGGAAGCTATGGAATTCCTTTCCAAAATTATGACAGCCCACCTACCCTCTTCTAGAGAAGTAGCAACCAATTCTCCCTAACCTGTAGTGTGGCAGGGGCAACTTGTGGTCGGGCGGGCTCAGAGCCCAGCTCTGAGGTTTGGACACCTCGGTGCCGCAGAGGAAGGCGGGCGCAGGGGCAGCGTGCGCCTGGCAGCAGGGGGCCCGCGGCACTTGGTGTTGCCTGGGTCCTGGGCAGAGTAACTTGAAGTGAGTCCTGTTGAGAAGCAAGCAGTGCAGAGTCTGATGGAAGCCCAGGGTCCAACCCCCAGCTCTGCCACTGTGTGACTTCACACAAGGGGCTTCGCCCTGTCATCATGAATGGTCAAATCCTAGACCTAGAGCAGGTGCAAAGCTTCACCGAGGTAACTGTGATTTCTGCTTGGTACTGTCTGACCCAGACAGTAAACAGTATGGAATAAAGTATAGCTGTATTAAGTTACAGATTTCAGGATGCAGGGGTTCTCGTTACCTAACAGACCTGCGTCTTCGGCATCATTCATCAGCTTTGCAGGCCGATTCTCTTGAGCTCATTTTGCTGTCCTGTTGTAACAGTTGATGTCACTTACTTCCCTTCCCCTCCACCTTGCGTGTCAACGTTTCCTGTGTGACCTGCATCCTTGAAATGGATCAAGTCTGCAAGATGCTGCCAAGTCTTCTGTAAGTGAGTTCACGGTAACCAATGGGGACTCACTAAAAACCAGGAAATACACATTGGTCAGAGCCGGGTGGCCTTGAGGAACCCACAGGGGCCCTTTCCTTGGGGAGAGCAGAAACCACAGGACACGAGTTAAGTTGGTAAGATTCACGTGACTTTTAATTCCTTATTTTGCTAACGTCTCACAGTAAGTGTAAGGATTCCAGATGGGGCCGGGGCGGGGGCGGGGAGGGAAGAGGAAAGTGTCTTTTGAGTTCCTTGCACTACTGAAGCATGTGCTAGAGGAAGAAAGTCCTGTGAAAGCGTCTGTCCTTGTCACCACGGAGCTCATGATGGAGATGCGGACAGCGACAGGGCAGCTCTTCAGCTCTGAGGACAGTGAGCACTGACAGACGAATCCTGCTCAAACCCGGCCCCGGGGGCGGACGGGCAATGTGGATGCTACACAGCGGGCAGAGGAGGAGCCCGCCCTCCTGTGCTCGGGAAGGGACACACACCCCTTCTGGGGCTCCCACCAACCGCACAGCAACGGGGACACTGTTGGGGAAGGCTCTTGTAGAAAAGAGAAATACTTATTTTTCATATTTGCTGGTGGTACTGATTGACCAGAAGTGGTTTAACTTTGGGGCAGTAGCATTGTGTCCTGGCGGTAAAATATCCGACACTTAGCACTCTTAAAAGGCATAGGAGGATGAGAGTGAGGCCTCTGCAGGCCTGGACGAGTGGGAGGGGGTATCTGCGTCTAAGGATAAGGGCATGAAAAGCTAATCCTATACCACCACACAGGAACTGACACACGACACCTTGGCCTTTTCCCCTCCTAGACGTACTCACCTCTTCTAACTTACACTACTAAATCTAAGGTCAGCTTAATCACAGTTCGGGATACAAGTAACTGTGCTTCTAAAGTTAAGGTGAGAAGCTATGTTCCTAATAGTTTATGTTCCCCTAAGTAAATGGATTTGAATAAGCTGAAAGCCTAAAATCTAGGGATTCTTTTCATTATTTCATTTGTTAGGAATAACTCTCAAAATTCATCACTGCCATGTTTTTTGTTTTGTTGTTTTTTTTTTTATTTCTTTCGAGACAGGGTCTCACTATGTAGTGCAGGCTGGTCTTGAACTCACTTATGTAGTCCAGGCTGGCCTCAAACTCATGGTGATCCTCCTGCCTCAGCCTCCCGAGTGCAGGGATTACAGGCGTGCGCCACCACGCCCGGCTCACTGCCATGTTTTTAAACCTACAGGATTGAATGGACATGAAATGGGCAGGGATAAGCCACTACACAATCACAGGGATGGTCAACATGCACTTAACTTTACTCATTAAGCAGAGAGAGTAAGAAGAACCCGAACATGTTTAAAAGGGAAGAATACTACAATAGTCTCCTTTTTTTTTTTCCTGGATGGAAAAACAGACATATGGAATTGGAGGGAGTGGAGAGTAGAATGTCCGTTAAATAAACACCTATCATGTGTGACTTACTTCTGTCAGAGTGGAATCAGGTGTGGACCATTGGCTCATTTTTTTTTTTTTTTTTTTTGGCAGTGATTTTATGTTTTAAGTATCTAGAGTAAGATTATACAGCCGGGCACCGGCTGGGTGTGGTGAATAAATACGGGTTTTCCGTTCAGCTCACAGCAGATGAGGATGTGCACAGATTTAGCACCTTAGTTTGTCCTTCCTTCCTCTGCACCTGAACCCTCTATCCCTGCGACGCCTGAGGTGGGAAAGCTGTGTTCTGAGATGACTGCTCCGTGACGGCTCCGGGACCGAAGTTTCTTCCGATCTAAGGGCTGGTTTTCCTATCAGAGAAAGTATTCACTGCTAACTATGAGACTGAAGCCGTGAAGACGTTACATAGCGGTGACAGGTGCTGCGGCTCAGGAATCGGCTGTTTAACAAGTCAAATGCGTATTATTCCCTCTTAAGCATTAACTTTTTTAAGCAAAGAATTATATTTTTTGGCTTGAAATGGTGGTTTCTTCTATATTTGACTTCTCGGTCTTCTTAGTAGATATTACTGTCTCCTCCAGTATTTCTTCGAAACTTTCTCCTATCTCCTTCTTAGAGGCGTCCTTAGAAGCCTCTTCCTCCTCCTCCTCCTCTTTCTTAAGGGACAGCCCAGAGGATGAGACTTTGGAGGTCATAGAACCGAGGGCTCTAGAAGTGAGCAGATAACTCGGGTTGGGCAGCGGGTTCAGCCCTGAGATGCTCAATCCGCTGGTGCTGAATCGCGTCTCTTCACCTTCCAGCAGTTTCCTGTAAATCCAACAGAGACGAACTCTTAGGAAGTCATCTTGATAATCTTTTTTTTTTTTTTTTTGGTTTTTCCCTGGACCAGGAACCGAACTCATGACCTTGTGCTTGCCAGGCAGGTGCTTTGCCCCTGAGCTAAATCCCCAGCCCCTGATAATCTTTTTTTTAAAAGAATGTAACCGTCCGGTCCCTATTTGTTTTAGAGACGCTCCAAAGGATACTGCAACTTTTTCATGAGATTAAGCTCAAGAATATTGCATTCCGAGGCTCGAAGAGTTGGAGATTAGCATGCACATGTGTACACACACACACACACACACACACACACACACGCATGCACATGCACGCACATGCACACACATCCCTCCCTTCAGCACCTGCTGTGTTTAAAGTAGTATCAAAGGAAACCAGTACGTTCCTGAAGCAAAACCTACAACATCCTTTGCCACACATCAAACTCATTGTTGGCAATTAAGAGTGCACAAAGCTTTAGGGAGCAGTACTTCTCCTAATTAACACCTTCACTGCAACAGGGATAAAGAGGTGAGAAGTCTGCACAGGAGAGAGGAAATGCCTAACCCAGCCAACTCAAGATGTGGATTTTGGGGGGCTGGGGATACAGCTCAGCCGCACAGCGCCTGCCTGGCAAGTGCAAGGTCGTGAGTTCAATTCCTGGTACTGGAAAAAAAAAAAACAAATAAAACCCAACCAACCAAACAAAAAAAAAGATGTGGATTTTTCAGTGTATAAAGCTACACAGGAAAGAGAGCCAGCAGTAAAAAAAGCCAGTGAGTGATGCTGTTTCAGACCCCAGACTTTTCTCAGCCTGCCCCAACCAGGGCCAGGAAAGAGTGGTCCAGCCTCTTGTTCCTGGTAACTCCCATAGTTTTTATCCTCCTTTATCTACCGATCAGAAACTCAAGACACGCTTGGATACTCTTGGAGCTTTATTGTGAAGTCGTCTACACAGCACGAAGAGAAGATGTGTGCACAGATGTGCTGATGAGTCCGAGCCCTGCTGCTTCCCAGCACCGTGACCCCGACCTGATACCTGGGACCGTCCTATGAAGTGTCTCACAGAACGCCCAGCACACGGAGGTCATTCAAAAAACAGCAGCTGTAATTACTGCTTTTTTCTTTCTTTAGGGATCTGGGGAAAACTTTACCTTGTATGACTTTCTAAGTGTGTAAACCCCAATATGAAATTAGAGTCTGATGGATCTTTCTTTCTAGAGGCATGCAGAATGCTCTAGGACTCACGGGTGAAGCTGGGATGCATCTGAGGAGAGGGGCAGAGGGGTGAACCTACCTAGAAGGAGCCAGGGAGGGCCCTCCTTTTCACACTTCACGATCGGACCCCTAAGGCCGGGACAAGTGACCTGGGTGGCCCCGCCAGTGAGTGCGCCCTCTGAGGTACCTGTAAGCCGCTATCTCGATGTCAAGGGCCATTTTGACGTTCAGCAAGTCCTGGTACTCCCGAAGGTGGCGAGCCATCTCACTCTTGGTGCTCCTCAGATCACTCTCCAGCTGCCCGATGCTGTCCTGCAAAGCGACACACCCAAGATATTCAGGCCAAACGACCTGAGAGTCTTTGAGATTTCTTTCAACCCTACCTACAGGTCAAGCCACCTAAGGACCTCACATCCAGGGCTGTCTCCCAGCCCCGGTTCCCATTCATCCGTGCGCAGATGTGGGTCCTGGCATTTGCATTCTTACAGTCCACAGGAATTCAGACGCATGGGGAGGCTGGGAACTTTACCAAGGAGTACGTGATTCCCAGGGGAACACCGGGAGACGTTGCGTTTCCGGCTTCATCCCTCCCTGGCTCGCTCTGGTTCTGCATCATAACTCCTGTGTGTCACCCAAACCCCAAGCATCAGGTTAGGAGCTTAGAGTCAGAACAGTCCAGCTGTGGGAAACGTGGAGAAGACAGTAAGCCTTCTTGGCTACGGTTCCTGCCTTCCTTCCTCCGGACGGTTTCTGGAAGTCTGCTACACACCACAGAAAGCATTTCACGTGACAGCTAATAAAGAAGAAACACTCCCTAAGAGCTTGTCTTCTTTTAAATCCAAACGGAATGCTGAATTATTATTATTAGTAGTAGTATTATTAGTAGTAGTATTTTTTTTTTTTTTGAGACAGGGTCTCCCTATGCAGTTCAGGATGGCCTTGAACTCACTATGCAGCCCAGCCTGGTCTTGAACTTGTGGTGATCCTCCTACCTCTGCCTCCTGCGTAATGGGATTACAAGTGTGTGCCACTTCTCCTGGCTAACATTACAATTTAAAATTTTTTTACTTTTCTTTTTTGCAGCGCTATGGATTGAACCCAGGGTGCTCTACTGAGTTACATCCTGGCCCTTTTTAAATTTTGAGACAGGGTTTCACTAAGTTGCCTAGGCGAGACTTGAAATTGCTATCCTCCTGCTTCAGCCTCCCTTAGTGCTGGGATGACAAGCATGCCTGGCTTAAAATTACAACAAAACAAAACAAAATATAACCCTAAATTCAGCCAGATATGGTAGCACACACCTGTAATCCCAGCACCCTGGGAGGTTGAGGCACAAGGAACAGAAGTTTGAGCCCAGCCATGGCAACTTACTAAGACCCTGTTTCAAACTAAATAAACATAAAGAGTAAAATTCAAAATGGTTGGAGATGTCACTCAGTGTGAAGGTTCAATTCCTAATACGGGGGAACTAAACTGATGTCACAGTTTTGCTCCAAATGTGCAAACCAAGATACAGAAGCAAAATCACTTTAAATTTATGATCTATGAGCAGCAATGTATATATATTCTTGAGACAAGTTTCACTCTGCAGTTCAAGCTGGGCTGAAACTATGTATCACAGGCTGGGGACAAACTTGCACTCACCCTGCCTCAGCCTCCCAGAGTGCTGGGATTACAATTATGTGTCAACAGGCCTGGCTACAAAGTCCTTTTTTAAATTTTATTTTTCTTTAAACATGGCTAGTTCCTCATCACACAAGATTCAATTCGCATACTCTCGTCAGACAGTTCTTCCCTTGTGCCCGACTTAAGTTCTTCCCCTCCACTGATCCAGCATAACTATACCTCCAGCCAGGGCAGCTGCTGGCCATGCACAAACTGTGGGCAAATTAGAAAAAGGTGCTAACAAAGGCAGGACGAATTAGGAAAAATATTGGAAGCTAGAAAAGTCTTGCATGTAGCCTCTCTGCTCTTAGCTCTCATCATACGAAATTATCTTGTTCATTTATTTACCAGTCTGTTTTCTGTCACTGTCCTCGAGGACAGAGGTTGTTAGTCCCTGGGGCTGGCTGCTGCTTTGTTGTGGGAGACTGCGCTGTGACGAGCAGTTCAGCAGCACACCTGGGCCTGTCCGTGAGATGCCAGAAGCACACATTCTCCTTCCCTGCTGGGACAACCAGAGATGCAACTAACACCGTCACTGAGATGCCTGACCCTAGTACAATACACACCAGAGGAGCTCAGCAAGTAGCAGTGGAGTGAATGAATGAATGGGCGAGTGCTGCTACATAAGCATTTCTTCCCATGAGCACAGAAAGCACGAGCACAGAGCTCCCACAATTCAGCTGCAACTCTGCAGGTCGAGAAGAGCACTGTGATTGGGAGCGATTTCAATGACAGGCATGCAGAGGAATAAACCAGAAATGCCAGGAAAGCTAGTCCTGAACTGCCCTTGGAGCTCCACTTGAGTGGGGATGACGAAGCAGGGGTAACACTCGGCACTCGTACGTCAGGGGTTGCAAACTTCGAAGTCAGAGAACTTGCGGAAAGATTTCATGCTACCCACCTGCTCTACAAGTACTGACCGGAGTACTGCAAGGGGTATCAGTCAACTCATGGTGCAGAGCCAAGAATGTCAGGCACCGAGGGATGTACTGGTGGATTAGACGATGCAGATATTTCAAAGTGTGCTGGGATATCATGAGGGGGGTTTCCCCACATATTTTACTTGATGTTTGCTATCTGAGGTGAAACTAACCCAAAAGCAAGTCCGTTTAACCTATTATTAGAGCAAGAAAAGCAGTCTTACTGTGGGATGAGGAAGGGGGTCTAGGGTAAAAGAAAAAGCAGAAGGGGAAACGTCGGTATGCAGAGGAGCAGCAGAAAAGCTTTATGAGGAAGAGCAGGCGTTCATCATGCCCTCTTGGTTGCACCGTTTTGCTCTGTCACTGACATCCAGAGTCAGTTTTTTATGTTTTAATCTTTTCAATTCTTCCATTTCAGCATATGGAAAATTATAATATTTATGCTTTTCCAAGGTGTTATGAGACTCTCAAATTAGTTTTCTAGTTTGATGTACCTCCCATTAGTATGTGATGAATCTATTTCCTGTTAAATTAGAGAAGTCATTAGAATAGTGTGGCACGTAAAAGTACTCAGTAAATGTTAGCGATCATTTTTATTATTGTTAATGACAAGCCATGTGGTTCTACTCTTCTGATAATATGGACAAATTCCTTCCTACAACTCTTTAAGTAAATAAGAAATGAGTCTATTACACAATATTAATGTGTAATAAAACTTTAATACTAGATTATTGGTTGCATAGCTCTCAAAGCATCAGATTTTGAAAAAATAACAATTTTGAATAAAAGCTTTTTCTAAAGTAGCTTATACCAGTCAATTAAGACATTAATAATGTCTTAATTGATGAAAATGATCACGATGTATACCTAAGACGTACCAATAAACTTAATTATATATATAAAAACATGAATAATATAACCTGCCTCAGCAATTAAGGGTTATGAAAATGATCAATTATTTCTCTATAATTTGGTGATGTCTTTTATCTTTTGGGTATATCCCGCTATTTATTTCCACCCTAAATGGTCCTGAAGGTCAGTGTTTGAAATCATGTTGCTACATGTTGGATTCCTTTGTCCTGAAAGACGGCCTGATTTACGGCTACTCACTCTTGAAAATGCCCGATGGATGACAGTGGTTGCCATTCCCTGTCCAGGGGTCAATTCGTTCAGAATCAGGTATGGCAAAAACGATCAGGATAGGGGCGTGGTCCTAAAATACACTGTCTTGTCGGCGGGGGACTTAGGTTCTTTTCCAAAGCATTGTGATTCTCAGCTGTGTTTTCTAAGAGGTTGCTGGGGAGCTGAGTTCCAGATAGATGAGACTTCTTTGAACTCTTCTGTTGGACGTTTCACATGTCTATTTTATGGATCGGAGCGGACAATGAGGCCCAGGCGGCACAGAGGAGCTACTTTCTGCCCAGCAGGGGCCCACACGCCCAGGCTTTGTTCCCGCCCTCGGGTCCTGCACTGCCCTTCAAAGGCCCGGCAAAGATGGCGTCCACTGGAGCCCAGGGCCGCAGCGGCCCCGCCCCCAGCCACGCTGCTGCTGCTGCTGCTGCTGCTGCTGTTGCTGCTGCTGCTGCCGGGTTGGCCGTAGGGCAGGGAAAGGGCTACCGCGCCCCAGACCAGGGGGGCTCTCTTGGAGTGGCGGGGACCAGTGCAGGGAGGACACTCGCCTCTGTGGTGAGGCAAAGACTGCGGTGTTGTGGATGTCACCACTAGTGGGGGGCTCTTCAGCCTGGGAGCAGTAGTGTGTGCCTCACACACTGTCTGACTCTAAGAGGTGGTCCAGAGTTGCTTATCTGGCAGATAAAAGGAATCAAGCACGGAGGGGGAGAGAGGACTGTTCTACATGGTCCATCCAGGCACCAGCGCTGTTTTTATTCTCACCCCTCCCTTTACCTTTACTTCATCCACATTTTTTTCTTTTTTAATTCTACTGCACTCTAATTTTTTTTTTTTTTTTGAGACAGGGTCTGGCTATGTAGTCCAGTCTGGCTTCAAACTCAGGCCAATCCTCCTGCCTTAGTCTGCTGTGTGCTGGGATTACAGGCATGCATCACCAAACCCAGCTAAAATCTTGTGTATGTGTGTGTGTGCGTGTCTTTTTGAGACAGGGTCGCGCTACACAGTTCAGGCTGGACTTGAGCTCACTTTGTAGCCCAGGCTGGTCTCAGACTTGCAATGATCCTCCTGCCTCAGCCTCCCAAGTGCTGGGATTACAGGACTACACCACCATGCCCGGCCCAGTTAAAATCTTGTATGTGCTCTCTGTAAGCTCCCTTACTGGAAAATGTGGCTTAGGTCAGTGTACTCCAAAATCAGTGCCAGGATGGACAGGATATAGCACTTTTATTGAAAATGCATATTCCTGGGCCCCACCTGGGAACTATGAATCCATATCCTTGGAGATGTGCTCAAGAATTTTTTTCTTTTAAATCTTCCTGACCTTGATGTGTCACTGAGTTTAGGAACCACTGGTATTTCTGGTGGCCCAGGTGACAATAACAGAGTAAAATAGGGGAAGGCAAACAAACAACTGGATGGAAGAGCTTGAAAAAGAAAAAAAAAAAATGACCAAATGTAATGTTCTTCCCTTTGAACTCTTATTCAAAATAGATCTATCTAAAGATAACAATACACAATGTGTTATCTACTGGTACCCTCCTATTATCTTGTTTTGAATTTTTAAATTTTATTCTCTTTAAAATAAAAAGAAACAGATCTATCAAGCTGTAGACTAATATGCAGCCACTGCTGCCTCCAATCTCCCAAGGGGCCAGGCCTTTCCTGCTACTTAATTAGGCTGCACTCCAATCCCATCTTGGAGAGAAGAGGGCAGACTTGGCTCATCTCCCTGAGGAGCATTAAGCAGCCGGGATCTTTCAGCAAGGCCTTTCAAGAAAAGCTCTGGCCTTAGACCACAGCACAGGTCTGCGACACCAAGAAGCCTCCAGGAGTATCTTTATACATCAGCACACTGGGACTCTAACGCTGGCGGAGCAACTACGTAGGGAGCAGAAATGGGAAATCCTTTGGTTTTCCATGCAAGAGGTGGCTGCATTCGGCCTTTGAAGACAAAAGGCCCAGTGCTTCCTGATCTCTCCTCTTGCCTGATTCTGACTCTCTGTACTTACTGTGTCACCTTGAACCATTCTTTACCTTCTGCAAGTGTAATACATTTCCTCTCCTCAAATAGGCTATCAGCTCTCTGGGGCAGGGAAAACTTGACTTTCAAGAGGCCTTCCTGTATCTCTGAGAGGGCTGCCATGCTTGCAAAGGAAACGGGCCTGCCACTAATCTCTGAAGCAGAAGGAAGAGACCATCTTCCCACAACTGCAGTAGGAGAAGGAGCAGGAGTCAGAGGGCAAGGAAACAATGGCTGCCTCTCACTGTGGACAGGGAGGCTTTTCACCTTGGCTAGCACTGGGGTTGTTAGAACAGTCGGAGGCTTTGGGCATTCAGGGTGTGCAGGTCAAACTGTGAGCCCCACCCCTGCCTTTGGTGCCAAGGGGTGGGAAGTAGCTTTCTGCTGTCTGAGCTCTTCACTCCCATCAGCTGGCCCACTGAGGCTCTGAAGGCCAAAGCCGATGGGGACAGCACTGCAGAGCTACAGACGCCACGGTTCTGTTGTTTGTTTCCTGCAGACCTCGTCTGAATGAGCCTTCTATTGTCTGACACTGAAAGCCTTTTACAGCAGTAAGCCATACTACATCATCATTACCTCTTAGAATGCAGGGGCTGAAATAAGCAGAGGACATGGCAAAGCCTAATCACTGGAAAGTTCTGGGTGAATTATCATTTTTTGTAGAAATACTGGGCTATTTCTACCACCTAGCTCAACCTTTGAGGCTTCTGGGAGAAAACTTGAAGTCTTATTTAAGTAAGTGTGCTTGATTCACATCACCCAGCAACCAGACTACATAGTGAAACATTCAAGTTACAGATTTTGGACCAAAATAGAAGTTTGGTTTTTTTTTTTTTGGTTTTTTTTTTTGGTGCTGGGAATTGTATTCAGGACCTCACACTTGCCAGGCAAGCACTGCGCTGCTGAGCTATATACCCAGCCCTTGGAAGTATATTTTGAACAATACTGTAATACCGAAGTAACCAAAACAAACACCCCAACCAGGCTTTCTTCCTTTGTCATAGAGAGTTATTTGTAACGAACCACAAATACCTGCACATCGTTTCTTTGCTCCTGACTAAAACAGAACCTTTCAGATTTCATGCTTTTTCTTGGTTATCAATGTCCCCACCTCTATTAATTTCCTCAAGAGTAAACTTCAACCCTAGCTAGAACAAATTATTTCATGTTTCTGTATTACTAGCATTCTATCCCAAGGAGCTTTTATTGCACCTGGAAAACGAGCTGCACTGCTTTAGTTCTTGTCTGTATTCTTCACTCTCCCTGTTTCCTGCCTCTGTACCCTTTGTAGTTAAAAGCCTAGAATGTTCTGTGTAGTAAAACTAAAGACGCGTGAGCCTTTGTTGGGAGAAAAGAGCCAATCAATACCTTCACAGGAGCTTACAGGGCAGGGCAAGACAGAAAAAAATAAGTCACCTATAACAATGAAACCATCTCTGTGATTTCTCACATGCTCTTGAGATGGGAGAATGCTACAGTAATGGGAATTTCCACCCTTTAAGGGGGAGGCTCCCCCCATCCCAGCTGCTGAGCAGATTAAGTGGTTTTTGTTAGATGCTAAGCCATCCATGAAAGTGAAAATTGATGCTGCCCACAAAGTGACCTTTGACTGCAGGTAACCAAGACCGATGTGTTTCGAAAGAAAAAAATGTCAAAGCAGTTAATTGCCTAGAGATTCATAACTAGGGCAGGAGACAGGAGAGATACATTTCTGAGATGGGAGGAACTCGAGATCAGCACCGTGGACAGCGCCCCGGCGGGTCCACGATGCTAACCGGCGCATAAAGCTTTCTTTAGGAATAAATGTCAGTAGATCGATAATAGGACCGCGCGCGCGCGTGTGTGTATGTGTGTGTATCGTGCGCGCGCGCGCGCGTGTTACTAGTTCAGTCTCCACCCAGCTCCTGAGTTCTCATCTCCACTTTTTTGAGGGCAAGAATCAAGACAATGGGTAGCGCTCTTCCTAGTTCCCGACCCTCTCTGGCAGACACACTCCATAAATATCAGATCTGCGGTGAGCAGAAACCCTTCCAAAACCAGTCACAGCAGATGGCTGAGACAGCAGTCGGGACGGCAGAGGCTGTGCCCTGCCTGCGCACTCCTGCTTGGGCGAGGGCCGTTCTCCAGGCCGCCAGTGTGTTGACCTATTGCTGATGGGGAGGATTAGTCAGATTTTTCAGAGTTGGGAAAAAAAAAAAATCTCATGTGTTTCTTTGTTAGAAGAGCTCAAAGGAGAACATAAATGAGGGCGGGGAAGGAAAGCTTCTTTGGGGGCACCCACAGTTCACAGCGCAAACTGCATGGATTTTTGCCTGCCGACGCCTGAGTCGAGCCCCCGCCCCCTCCCGTTTCCAGGGGCCCGGTGCTCTCGGAGGACCCGCCCTTACCTGGTAACCGGCCACCTCGGCGCTGTGCCGCTCCTCCAGCTCCAGGATCTGCCGCTCCAGGGACTCATTGGCCCCGCGCAGGCCCTCGATCTCGATGGTGCGCGCCTGCAGCTGGCGCCGGTACTCGTGGATCTCCTCGCGGCTGGCACGGATGGCCTCGGTGCTGCGCGCCGCCTGCTCGTTCAGGTTGGCGAACTTGGACTTGTACCACTCCTCAGCAGACTGCAGGTTCTTGGCGGCCAGGGACTCGTACTGCGCGCGGATCTCCCTCAGCGCCGAGCTCAGGTCGGGCTTGGCCACCGCCACGTCCACCTCGGCCGCGGCCTGCGACGAGGCCTGCAGCGTGGCCAGCAGCTCGGCCACCTCCTCGTCGTGCACCTGGCGCACGAAGGCCAGCTCGTCCAGCAGCGACTCCACCTTCTTTTCCAGGTCCAGGCGGGCCAGCGTGGCGCCGTCCACGTCGCGCTGCTGCGCCTTGAGGGCGCGCTCGGCCCCCTCGCGCCCGCGGCTCTCCTCCTCGCAGCGCGCCCGCAGCCGCTGC